TAAATAATACCCCCACTCCACCCGAAATCGTCAATCCATCGTTCAAGAAAAGTTGCCCGAGTAATACTATACCTTCACCCTCTGCCCATGGGATGTTCAACTGTCGGGTTACAGTGCGCGCACTGCGTGACACTCGGGAATGCTCGCAGTGCTGTCGGCCAGAGCAACAGCCATTTCGTCAACCACCTGTGCTTCGTCCTCTTCCTGGATCGAAACCCAGTTCCCCAATTGATTCGAACGTCTTCACCGTGTTCCGCAAAGCAGGTGGAAAAAGAGGACCTTTCCGTAATCATTCTAGCCGACGATATTCTCAAACTGCAGCTGCAACATTACTGTTGTTTTGATAAAAGAGCCTTACCAATAATGCCCTGCTCCATTTGCCGAAACCCATGTTGACTCGTCAACTAGTGCACGAAGACTGGTCCGGTGTGCGCACTATTCAGCACTATGACTGATCACGGCACCTGGTGGACAAATTTGGAACTGGTCGATTGTATAATGACGCATGGAGATCATTAACTCCATAATGGTATGGATGGTAATATACCAGCTTGTTTGGTACTCGTCTGGTACTATAGTTCGTTTTCTTAATACACCGTGTTTTTAGGCAAAGTTTAATTATAACCACCTTGTACTTAAGAGCCACTCTTTTGGCATTTATTCTTTTTCAGGAATAACCTTAAACACATTTGTGAGAGGTTTCAATACCATTTCTGATACTCTTTTCAGAGGTTCATTACAGCTTCCGTCTTCTCCCGAAGCCTTCTTTATTTTGCGTTCTTTCAGAGCTGCTTCGATGTCACACAGCACAATGAATCGAATTATTGTTTCGAACTATAGGGTCAATTAACATTTCTTTTATTCCTTCCATTGTTTTATCGCAGAAATCCAATTAACGGACGTAGATGTTCTCAATCTGTCGCCCGTAATATAATTTTATTTCTATTAGTTAGCAACTAAACTTGTGTATATTCCTTTCATCCAATGTTTTCCTTCACTCAACTCTCGTTTTATTGTCTTTATACACCTGGAAGTGTTTATTATTTCTTGTATGATTCTGTTTTTGTGATCTCTTTAATCTTTCTTATTTCACGTTTTACTAGCTTGGTGAGCTCTGAACATTCAAGTCTCAAAATTAAATTATATTACTATTATTGTTTCGCTTTTTGTCTTCATTCAATCAGTAGCAATTGTTTTGTGCTTTATGAACTTTTCTTTTCCTTGCCTTTCTTGTTGATTTTAAGGTGGCCTTTCGTATTGCGTTTTCAATGTTGAATACATTTCTTGTATTTCGGTTCCCAAGTAGTCTCAGTCCATAGGAGATTGGTTTAGTTGTTATACAAATATATTTTAATTTACAGATACTTTTTTATGAGAACATTTTTGTACCTTCTCGTTCTTTTTTAATCCCTGTTGCCTCACTTACCCTACGATCTGTTTCAAACTTTGTTGCTCACTACTTCTGAGTTACTTATGTTTGAGATTTTCAGGTAGAATAAGTGTGTTGCATTACGTGTTCTCCCATGGGGACTGCGCCACGTACATTTATTTGATATGTTCTTTTTCTGGAAGATATTACAAATTTTTAATCTCCGTCCATTTGCACATTGAAAGTCGTGATTATATGAAGTTTCTAACGCCGTAACCTTATTGCCCTATGCAAATTCATGTAGTACTTCCTTTCTTCCTATTTTACTGTTGAAATATTAAGATTTGCTTGAAGTACATTTACGGTATAACCACATTGTTTCTAAAAGTCTTCAGTTTCATCGTTTCTGCTGTTTACGGTCGGTACATAAACATGAGAGATTGCTCTGTTGTCTTCTTAATTTTGCCACAATTATTGTTTCATTTATTCCTTTAATTGCTTCTACATGATTTGCCTGTGATATAAAGAAGTACACCCCTGTCTCCTTTTTTCTCCATCTTAACTGTGAATGTCTTCTCCGGGTAGTTCAATTATTTAATTTCCTTCTCTTCTTACTTACATGAGTCCAAAAATGTCTACATGAACGTATTTTAGAGCTTATTGTAATTCGACAAACCATTCTTCTGTTCTCAAAGTCCTCACATTTAGTGAATCAATTTTAAGTTTTTCTTTATATTTCATGAGTTACTTACAATTATCCAAGGAATTGTTTCAATGGTGTCCTATATTGTGACCTATGTCCGGTCTTGAAAGTTTAATGAGACGCCAAGGAACCACAAGTGACCACCTCGCTTTCTAAAAATAAATAGATAAAATGAAATGAGACGCTGGCTTGACTGAAGCAGTAAGCTATTCCACCAATCACGAAACCAGAAGGAGCATAGCCCGTGGCTGAACAGAACGTAAAGAGTAGTAAGAGAACCAGGCCATGGTGGCGTGATTTGTTCGTAAGTACGTGCAAGCGAAACAATTGCATAAGATTGATCCAAGATTTAACGAATTGAAATTGTGTACAGTACAATAAGTACAAGTAAAGAACATTAATAAGGGGGTAAATATCTTAAGCACTGTTCTTATAATTTGTGATAATTAGGCATGTATATGGAACACGTGGACGGAAAGGTGTATTTGAATAATTGGCACATTTATAAATTGATATTCGTTTGTTGTTCGTTTCAGCTTTCTTGTTATAATTCCAGTTTTTCTTCGTACTTATAACTGCATATTTATTTAGATATATATTTTATATCTTCTATATTCTTCAATGATTTTTGAGATTCTATAAGCTTAAACAATTCGTGGAACTGCCATCTATAATACGTGGAATACAGGAGCCACTGCTCACTTCTTCAATTTGCGGTTGCGAGATACTTTGACTAGAAGGCACCCTAGGCGCCGAAAGCGAACGAAAAATCCACCCTCCACCAAATCTTACCACGGAAGTCTGATGATCCGGGAGGAGTAACGACTCTCCATCATCAACATTAATGATAAACAGGCGCGAAAGTGCTGGCTCGTTCCCTGCGCATATAATTGGCAAGAACTGGAACTGGAACTGGTGGCCACGTTTTATTATAAACGCAATTGCTAGGGTAATTCGAGTGTGAAGTTTGTAATAAGTTGATAATTAGGTGATCACGTTGCTTTAGAGTTAACTTTAAAGTTAGTTCAAATAAATAATTTATTTTTGGGAGTATTTGGCCAGAATTAAATGCCATCTGAAAAGTATACAAGCGAAGGTTGAGTCAATGGGTTTCTTTCCCCAACCCCTGAGTTCCGTTACCTCAACGCAGCGCCGCGGGACCAAGGTCGCGCGCCGAGAATTGGTTTTCCCTCGAGCACCATAGTAGAAAATTATTTTGTTTCTAGATGGAACAAATATTTAAATAAAAATTAGGAAACTAAGTATTTTATGTAACAAGTCCATAAAACTTTTTTCTAACCACAAATGTTGGGTATCAATAGTTTGTCGAGTAGCGAAAGACTAGAAATACTTATAAATAATTTAATTAATATTTATAACCCTATAAGGTATAAATTGGTTTTTGCTAACAGTGCGGTAATTTAATATATGGAGAAAACAAGACTTAACAACAATAATTAAGGCAGATGTATTATAAAGAGATTTAAAGATAACTTTTTTGTAACGGTCTATTTCTAAATGAAACAACTGTGTAAATGAAAGTGCCGGTCCGGTTGGCCGAGATCGCTAAGGTAGTAGTGCCGCAGCGATCTCTGATCGAAGGGTCGCGGGTTTTGTGTCTCACCTCGGGCGTGATTTTATTGTGTTCGTCCTTTCAACCCCTATCATCATCATCATCATCATCATCATATCGTGTCATTCTCATAGTTACCATACCGTGACACGCAATAGTGGTCCCTAATAACCTAAAAGTTGATGCGATCTTAAAATAACAAAAAGAAGTGAAGTACAAAAAAGTGAACAATCCTAAGCACAAAATTTATAAATTTTATAAGGGTGATGTAATTCAATATAGAGAAAAAATAGTGTGTTCCAACAATAAGCAAGAGAGGTTTAGATGTTAAAGAGAAATTTAAAGATTACTTGTGTTGTGTGTGTATAGAATTTCTCTTGTTTTTTCTTTATTGCCATATATTTGAAGATTTTAGGTATTGTTCGATTTGTGTGATCATATACACTTTAGCTACTCTTTTGTCTGGTTTAATTTATTTCTGTGTGAAACGACGTTTGTACAAGAAGGAGTACAATCATTGCAATGCTGAAATTAAATAGGTTAACATTACAAAATGTCTTGCTTTTGTGTTTGCGTTCATCGAACCACCACCCTCACTTAACTCGCTCCTTAAAACGAAGAATCCTAATAGCTCATGATGGTATCAACCCTGAATAATTATTAACATTTAGAATCGAATATTGTAAATTTGATGTACATTTTCGATTTCTGTGATATCGTTTTCTCGTTCGGCTTTTGCTCTTTGCCTGATCATTGCTTGAATTTTTCTTTCTTTTGCGGTCATATCGTCAATAACCTTGTAACTTGTGCTTATTCTTCATTACGACTTCTTTGTGTTCTATTGATTTTATTATAAAGCGTACCATCCCTCTTCCTGTTCAGTTTTTCTCAATGTATAAACGTTTTACGTTTTCAATATTGGCTTCTGTTTCTAGAAAAGTTCTGTAGTGTTTTTGTAGGGTCTTCCTTGTTTTCCTATATTTCTCTACATTTCATTATTTCATTGTTCCATTGTTCCTTTTTTCTTTTCTAATTATTTTTCATTGTTTTTCATTCATTTTCTTAATTGCGAAGACAATACTCTGAAATAATTAGAATGACTTCCGACGTTTGATTAGCTGGGTTGCGGTTATCCAATCGGAAGCTTTGTTGGGAATCGCTGTTTGGTATTGAAGCTCCTGATTGGTATACCGCCTCCCAGCTGATCAGAGGTCAGCAGTCACCCTCATGTCTGCGAATGTCTGCGCCAGCGATGTGACGCGCGTGTGCGTGTGTGCGCATGCGCAGGGACCCCGGGCAGCGACGTGCGGTGCGCGGACGCCGTGCGGCAGCGCGGCTGCAACATGGTGGGCCACCGCTGCAAGTGCTCCGAGGCGCCCGTCTGCCCCGGCGAGGCGCCCTTCGCCTTCGCCAGCCGCGACGAGTGCGAGATGAACCTGGCCGTCATGCTGGCGCACGAGCAGGCCGACGCCTCCGCTCAAGGTAGGGCCGGCGGACACGCGCACACACACGGACATTTACGCCCAAGGAGAAATAAAAAAAACACACTACTGTTGTTTATGTTAACTGTATCACGTAGTTTGAGTTGTACTCGCATGTTAAACGAACGAGCCAAGTCTAAATATAACGAGTACGAGATGAACCTGGCCGTCATAAATTCTAGCGCACGAGCAGGCCGACGCCTTCGCACAAGGTAAGGCCGGCGGCAACGGGTTTTAGTGGCGGACATGCTGGAAACGCACAGATACTTGCACATTCACACTCAAGGAGTCAAAAAACACACTACTGTTGTTTCTGTAAACTGTATTACGTAGTTTGAGTTGTACTCGCATGTTAAACGAACGAGCCAAATCTAAATGTAGCGAATGCTAGATGAACCTGGCAGTCATTCTACCACGAGAAGACTAACGCTTCTGCACATGATGCAGCCGGAAGCAAGGCTTTTGGGTTCGTGGTGGTGGACATTCTAACAGTTAAGTTACACACACAAGGAGATTACAATAATGAATCTGTTGGGCAAATCACTGTCGAATGTGTGAGGGGTATGATAACGAACGAGTGCAAAATTGCCAATTGACCATGAGGGCGAGATTAACCTTGTCGTCAGGCTGTTACTTGAGCAAGCGGTTGCTTTCGCACAAGGTAATGACAGCAATAAGGAATTTTAGTTCGTTGTGGTAGACATTCTGAACATAAACACCAACAAACACATCACTTCATCTTGCAACATCACTACTACTGAACCACTCACTGCTGAATTGGTGTAAGCGGTATGTTAAATGAACGAGAGCAAACCGGAAGCTAATGTGTGCGAGTTAAACCAGGCCGTCATGCTGGCGCACGAGAAAACATACTCTTTCACACGGAATAGATATGCTATACTCTCTTATCTTGTACATGAGACACGTGTACAATAGGATGGTACTATAAACATACTATAGTGTAATACACTCAATACAGAGGGAGATGATTTTTGATTTTTTGAATGTTTGGAGAACAATAGAAAGAAACGGGTTGACTCCGTTAACTATTTCTTATGTCTACGAAGAGTTCATGCTTTATTGTGAAACCATACGTGTGTCTTGGACTATCGCATATGTCCAGTAATGATATAGTAATCACATCTATTAATTATAATACAAATCTTTTCTCCTCGTATTTTGTATGAAAGAAACATTTATTTTATTTCTGTTATTATTAAACTGTTATTATTATTTCTTTGTCACTCTACCATTTATTGAGCAAACAATTTGAAAGAATAGGAGGGTATTAGTTGTTCTGCTAATGTGAAAATTATAATAAATATCCAGTTTTACTTTAATACTCTTGAAGTCATGGTCATCGGAAACATAGTCGTGCTCGTAGATGCAAAGTTCAGAAGTCTATCGAGGCATCAGATACCATATTGAATCAATAAATTCCTTTTGACAGTCCGCCAGAACAAGATTAACACCTTACCAAACTATCAAATTAGCTTTCAGAAGCCAATTGGAAGCAACAAGAAATCACGCAGATGAAATGAAAAGTACGGCACTCCCTCTATAAACCAAGATTAAAGAGCTTCGCTCTTCTACATTCTGATCGTACAACGCATAATCTGCAACACGCTCCCGATCCGGGAGGGTAAATTGATCCTATCACAGCCGATGTTGCTCTTACAGTTTCATTATCGTTGATATCCTACCGATTACTTCAGTCGTTTTAATTAGACTGATTGCGTAATTCAATTTTACATCAGAGTATTAATTAAACGCTCGCGTAGTTTGTTCCGCCCTCACGATCTACATACTCACGCTGTGCCCTGAGGGCCCTTTGGAAAATATTTAGGAGTATTGGTTGTTAAAACAATTTGCGAAGAGCCTGGCAGTTTGTTAGCACTGACGATGCAGCTGCTCTTCTGGATAATCTACATATTGCGAAAAGATTCATTCCACGGAGGAACTTCGAATCCTGCAAATCGTATATACCAAGGTTAATGGAAGAAAAATACGGAGGAAGTAAACTATTAGTATTTTTCTGGAAATTTTCTTGTGCAATCCCAATTGAAGCAAGTATCCTGACTTAGTGAATTACGTGGCCAGGTTTTTTGCCAAGCGTTCAATTAGTACAGTATCCATTAAAAAATGTAAAAATAAAGGTTTTTTTGAAAGAATAAACAAAGGATTTTAATTTTCTAATAAATTATATATTACGTCGTTACAAGAAAGGAAACCGACCTTAATAATATATATATATATTATATATATATGTATATATATGTATATATATAATATATTAATATATATATATATTATATATATATTATATATAAACCATTAGCTAAGTTTATAACAACTCGAGTCGTTATGTTAGCGTCATTGGTCGTGTGGCCGTTACAATAAACTTTTCGTATTTCCGTTTCGTAACAATCCAATTCAAATGTTATAACTAATGAATACATTTGTTTAATAGTTTTAGATTTTTGGTGCGTTGTATGGTCAGTATACATTACTCATTTCATTCCCTGTTCGTTTATTAATAATAAAAACTGTAAAACCTGTGTCTTTTGTATGGGAGACAATTATGACATAATTTTTAAGAAGGTTGGTCAGTGTTAGTGAATGGTTGAATATGGGGTGGCCGAAGATTTGAACTGATTTAAAAATATTTTCACATATTAAAATGTTCGAAGTAACTTCTGCCTAAAACGAGAGATTCATCATACAGCTAGTTGTCTGGTTGTTTGTTGATTAGGTACGTAAAAACATTACACTAAATATTACACATCACTGTTACTGTACATAAAAAATATTAACTAAAAATTTAAATTAAATTATAAAATTACAAATGCATGGTCGCAACTTTTCTTTCCTGATGCTCTTTCGGGCTGCAGTCACTACCCACCCCAAAATACGGAATTAGAGAACCTTACACAATCACTCCCAGAAAAGTAGCACTGAAGAGTACATTTTTCCAAAATATTGTCAGCCCACTTATTAAAGAGAATTTCGAAGCTACTATTCTACAGCCTACCATTCCATTCTTATAAATCAAATTAGAGTATAATTTTGTAGTGGAAATTATCATACAAAAGGGATTATCCCATTAGCGCTATCGTATATTCTAGTGCTACACATAACAAGTTTATCCTATAAAATAGTAATTATTCTATGAGGTACCAAAACTGACGATGAAACTTTTCCTTTCGAGTGATCCAAGTCTCAAACCACATTCTGTAAAACACGGCATCTGGGCGATTCAGTCTACAGTGACATAGTTGTTCATCGCCTGAGTGGCGTCGGTCGCAACATTGGCGTTGCATTCAGCTGTCATCACAGCTGCTTGTGGCGACTAGGCATTTAGTTCGCGCGGGCTACCACTAGATCTCAGCGCTAAAAACCGCAAAAAAGTGTTTGGATAAATTTGTTAGAATATTAGGAATGGATTCGAAAACAAATCACCGGTTTCCCACCAGGAAACCGAGACACGTTTAATCACACCTCATTTGCCTCCATTACTGCGCGAGAAGGGATCCAACCGTGAGAGACGAGTGAACACGACACGGACGATCGGATGCAGGTGATTGGAATAATATATTAGCGAGGACGAGATTTCATAACTGCGAATCTGGATAAGATGTTTTCCTCTGGGCTAGAAAATGACAGTCATCATTGATGAATATGGAGGAGTTGTTGAAAAGTTTCATACGTTATGCTAAATAAAAATTGGAAAATAAATAGACAATTGCAGTTTTCTGTTCAGCCTTTAAAAAAATTCTTATTAAAGTAATTCAAACGCAGTATAAATTATTTAGTTTTACTTCCAGTATTTTCTCCAAAAATATTTTTTCATTATATTTCTCTTATAATAATGAAATAAATTCTTTGTTGTGTCCATTTCGAAAAGAAGGAAGGGAATGAAGGAAAATACTTTAACGATTGTCAGAGAGGTATGTTGCGTAAGTAGAGATACAATACAGTGAGCGCCTTCCGAATAGAAAATACTGGCTTCCCACAGATTGTACTCCCGAAATTGACGTACCTATTCTCCAAGTTTAACTTCAAATTTTCCGCGTTGAAATTATACAAAACAGAACAGTACAGTATTCCGACGTCATTTCTTTTTATCCTTCAATGAAATGCTCTCTTTCCCGAACACAGGGTTTCTATCCACAGCTCAGGAATCTTGGTATATATAGAATAATATTGTTTTATAGTTGATATTCATTTAAATTAGCCGTTCGTTAGTTTTGTGAAAATAGAACATGGTAGATAATTGGCTAAATTCCATCAGGAAGTTGTTTTCAATGTAATGAAATTTTTCAGTTTAGAGAATTTGTAACCTTTTATTTACTTACTGTTTCATGCACGCAATTTTCAATTCTTTCAAGTATACTATGATTATTAATTTATATACATAAAAATAGTATATTTACTGCCTTTCAAATGATATTTATTGAATGGTGTACTAGAATTAATACAAAACTTTCTATACTGTGAGTGTGGTAATTATTACTCAGAAAGGAACTTCAATGAACAGAATTTCACTCCTTTAATGTAAGTATTTACGACCGACACAAAAAATAATTTTCTCTGTGATGAATGAATATAAAAAAAATACTATAAAAACTGCTTATGCATGTGTAGAGTGCGTTCGAGAACACATTCCTACGTACGTAAGCTACCTTTCCACCATCGCACCCCCTCAGGAATTGAACCCAGTACCTCCCGATTAGAAGAACTGCACAGTCAGTCGATGTCCTGATCCAGTTTTGGGGATCCAAAATATCTCCAACTCAATTCTGAAGGAATTCGTAAGTCTAGTATGTTCAGAGAGTTCTTGCATTGCCACGCAACAAAATAACCTTTCGATATAGTATGCCCTTCGTTTTGCTTATTATCTCCATACGAGTCTTTCAAATATTTTCTTTTCACTCCGTGTCGTTATAAGAGAATATTTATTTACTCTTGACAGAAGTGAGATCGGAACATTAACTCCGTTTTAACGGATCGGAATCTTTCAAACAACTAACATCGATTTAAAATAATATTTACAGATTCTGTACACATTCTGCGTTAGCCACAAAAACTTTTCTGAGAGGGGCGAAAAATGTAGTACTTCTTCTTAGATGACTCTTGAACGAAGTGGATAATTCCTGACTCGAAAAAATACTCATCACTCTGGTTGAATATATTTTTATCATGTGATTATATTTCAACTTTTGAATTGTAATTTAAATTTATATTTTACCACAATCGCCATTTTCTTTGCTCGTACGAATTAATTTGTGAATTAGTTTGTTTAATAAGTTTTCATCAAATACAGGAGTTATTCTCTGTTGATTGTTTTGAAAATATTCAAATAAAATGGTACTACATAATGAAATATTAAGGATGCATATCTACTGAGAGAGCTGGTCATGTTTTTTCAAGCCGATTCCTCTGAAGAACGTGACTTTATTCCCGCCATCTTTTTCATGGCTTTGCTCGCGCCGCGGAAATATAAATGCGCGCCAAAAACAAAAGGCTCGCGTTCGGCCGCGTTATTTACGCCGCTGACTTGTTGAATACACTCGCAGCTGCAGGGCCGGTGACCACGTCCTCGGAAGGAGATACCATCTAGTAAACTCTCGCAATTACGCGATTTTGAAACTGGGGAGTGTTATCGAAATAACTGAATTTGTTCAAAGAATTGTCACTCCGACCGGGAATTAAAGTTAGGTCTTTTTAATTACGTCGAATCACTGAGGTACGTTTTCGGCATTCGCCTGAGACCACCAATTCGTTGGGTGGTTTCTTACAAAATTGGCCTGATGTGTTGCTTGTGCGAAGCGTTGGTGATAGTTGAATATAAAATCAATAAAGGTTTGCATATGAAGTAGTACTACACTGTGTAAGGTAGTACTAGATTGTACTAGATCGTAGTTCTAGATTGTGGTGTACAGGTTGTGCAAAATGAATATTACACTCTGCTGAGGGATCAACTTTTTGCCAGGGCACATATAATGAGACATTTTGTGAGTTACAGACGTGATATTACTGACATCAAACCCATGATGGTTAGGTACCGTTATACATTTTTTAGAGCTATTTGCGCCACCGACTTGATGAATATACTTGCAGCTGCAGAGATGGCACCCACATCCTAGGAAAGGGACTAAATTTAGTAGCTCTAAGAAATTTCTATTATTTTAAAACTATTGTTATATATGATTAAACATTACTAGATTGTTGTCTTCAGGATGATGTGAAAAAAATCCTACGCATTTTGGAGCTTGTAGAGCGGGATACATTATGATGACGTTTTTTAATGAACGTGTAGCGAGAAGTTTTATATAACGAAATTACTCTCGTGATATTTCTGATATCGCGCCCCTTTTTGGTAGGATATCTAACCCCCAATAATGCTTGGGAGATACAGGAATCACCAACAAAGATATATCGCATGGCAGTGACAAACTAACTTTTATCTTTCTTAATTAACATTGCTCTTATGGTTGTAACATTGGTTCTGAACCATCATGATGGGACCAACTGCCTTAGGAATTTGCATCTTAATGACAACACAGCTTGTCTTCTTACTACATTCACTTGCACCCGCTATATTTATGCCTCAGTGAAAACGAACGATTTACTTTGATCGTTTAAATTACTAAGCTGTCAATATTTATTGTTCCGAATACTTATTTTACATCGGTCCAAATAAAGTTCGTACTATGCCTGCTATCTTCAATGGACCTCATTATTCTACCATATTCTCATTTGGTGATTGCACTGTTACAATATCACGTCTACACAATACTCGTCTTTCCACGTCAAGCACAGTCCTCGGACCGTTCATCAGCATTCCATTCGTTTGAACTCTACTGCTCCTTTCGTACGTACGAGAAACACGTAGAATGATAGGCGCCCAGAAATCCTCCGACTTCCAACGGAATTCGCCGGGCAATTTAGTCAACAGAAGCCCTTCCTACCTTACGGATACGAACAACAACGCGCTGCGTGCATGTATCAGCAAAGAGGATTTCCCCTCGCGCGCTTCCTATGTTAACGCGACGCTGCGACGGTGGCACGGCGCAATGTAGCCGGGTACCTGAGTGGGACGCGAGCTGGAAGGAGAGATGTTCCGGAAGGCGAAACGACGCGACGCGGCGCGACGCCACGCGGCGCGACGCGACGCGACGCGACGCGACGCGGCGCGGATATCGAAGCGACATGACGCGGCGCGGATATCGAAGAGACATGACGCGGCGCGGATATCGAAGCGACATGACGCGGCGTGGATATCGAAGCGACATGACGCGGCGCAGATATCGAAAGCCGGACATAGACCGGCGCGGGCAGTTAATCAAGCGACATGACGCGGGCGTGGATATCGAACGCCGAATGACGCGGCTGCGGATATCCGAAGCGAACAGTGACGCGGCGCGGATATCGAAGCCACATGACGCGGCCGCGGATATCGAAGCGACATTGACGCGCGCGCGGAATCGAAGCGACATGACGCGGCGCCGGATATCGACGCACCATGCGACGCGGCGCGGATATCGAAGCGACATGACGCGGCGCGGGTTATATAGCAAGAGGCGACGATATCGCGGAATGACGCGGCGGGATATCGCAAGCGACATGACGCGGGCGGGATATCGAAGCGACATGACAGCGGCGCGGCTACGAAGCGGACATGACGCGGCGCGGTTATCGAAGGCGACATGACGCGCAGCGGATATCGAAGCGACATGACGGCGGCGCGGAGTCATCAAATGAGCGCGCTATCGAAGCGACATGACGCGGCGCGGATTATCGAAGCGACATTGACGCGGCGCCGGATATCGAAGCGACATGACGCGGCGCGGATATCGAAGCGACATGACGCGGCGCGGATATCGAAAGCGACATTGCACGCGGCGCGGGATATCGAAGCGACATCGAACCGAAGCGAGAGGTTAACTTACACATACAATGACCATGCAATCGAATTCTCAGCCCTAGGTGTCTAACTGCTGTCTGAGGCTTGTTATTTAATCCACGTGTCTAGTACTCTCCGTAATTGTTGTTTTTCAAGCAAAACGAATCGCAAACACCATCAGCGAAAGCACAGAGCAAGTGGCGCTAGAAAAGAGACCACTTGGACCACTCCCCGACTTTTTCTTTCCTTTTTGTGGCTTTATACACGTTACATTACAATCACCCACATCACACGTGCGGCCTGGTGGCGGGGCGGTGGGGTCGCGCGGACGGACCACGGGCGGGCAGGGGGGGCGGGACGGATACGGAGGAGAGATGCGCGGTGATCATGACAGCTAGACGCCCTCTGAGTGCGCGCTGCAAGCGTAGAATAGGACTCATGGATTGAGAGGACTGTCGCGATGAGGCTAGAGGGGGGAGCAGAGAGAGCAAGAGAAGTGGGAGAGGGGGGAAGCCGGTGGGTACGGGGCGGGAGGAGCGCGACGGAGAGGATCCCCATAGACGTAATCCAGAGTAAGCTGAAGTCCGACGGAGGGAGGGAGTCTGGCGGTGAGGAAGGGGAGAGAGGCGGAGGGAGCCCATGGAGGTGGAGTCGGGTGTAGCGAGGCGGGTCGGACGGAGCGGGATGGGCGGAGCGGGGCTCACGAGAAAGGGCGGGACCGCGTGGGCGACGACCGAGTTGAAAAATTCGCCGTTTAGTAACCGGCGCACAGCGTGGTCGTTCGTTGCCCCGCGATTTCTCGGCGCCACGCCGCCTGCATGCGGAACCACCTCCCCTCCCGCCTCCCCAGCCCCCCTCTTTCCTCCTCGCCGCCTCCTTCGCAGACACCGCGGTCTAGCGTAAAAACGCGAGCGCCGGGCGACGTCATAAACTCCGGATATAGAATAAAAGCGCGCGGCTTGGAAGAATTCCGGAGGTCGGCCGCGCGCCGGCTGGCTGCGTCCGGGCGATGCAGTGGACGGCCGGAACAGTTTGCCGCGCAGGAGGCTACACAAGAGGAAGGAAACGGAAGGGGGAGCGAAACACCTGATGTGAACAAGCCGAAACGACACTTACAGGACAGGTGAAGATTGTAAGATTGAAAGAGGAAATGGATGGTCTTTTTATTGGAGGTGGCAGAAAAATATTGTGTAAATCAACGTTGATGAGCGAATTACGTAAAACGTTTTCAATAATGAAGTAGATTAAAAAATCTCCTATAAACGTTTATTACATGGTTGTGCAAAATGGCCAGAGCAGGTCATCGCTGAATGTTACTATACTGTTCGTCCACTGCGACCACCTTTCTTGCTTGATGAAGGGAGGGATGATAAGTGACTATATCGTTCGTAGGATGGATTAATACTGACTGAAATGGGTAGTAAGACTGATGAAAAAGGACAGACAAGCATAAGGAATAACTGAAAAATACAACGAATAACTACATTGTAATGCAATATGAGAATTATAATACTACTTAAGTCGCTGAAATATAAAGACTATATTATATTCGAGACTTTTTAAATGCGCTTAATAGTCGGCAGTAAAATTGTGTAATTATGTCGTGTTCTTTTTTTGTTTAACATTGTGTTACGTGTTGTGTTAATGTTTTGTATGTAAAAGTGTGTAATTTTGTAATTTCATTTTGTGTTAAAGCAATTTCATTTGATAAACATGGAAGCCAACTTTTCACCCTGCTGAAGCAGGAGGCCTTTGCCCTTAAAGGAAGTTTGCAGGCTCAATAAATAAATGAATAGAGAGGCGACAGCAAACGTTATTCATGGGGTTTTAGTAGCTAAAAAATGAATAATTACCTGATTAATAAGAAAAATTTACTAAATCATGGTTTATGGGATGACTTTGGTTTTCAAGCGATTTTTCAATATCTACAACTTTAATTACTTACTAAGAGATTCTTCTCCTTTCTACAGCATTTGTTAAAAATATTTTTAACTTAACGATTCACGAAAATGTTACCAGCACTGAAAGTTTTGTTTCATAGAGTGTGCTTCTATAATTACACTTTCCAAGTTAAATTAGCAATCAAGGTTTTAAAGCAAGTGAATGAGTATCATTTTTATATTATCTATCGTAGATTTGTATTCGCAAATCGTAGATTTTTTAAAATAAAACCTAATTTGATATTATGCGATAGAATCACTGTCTGAGGAAAACAAATAAAATAAAACTAGAAATGGTTATTAATATCAAAAGACGAAATGCACAGTTATGTTTGAATTCGGTTATTAATGAAAGATTGGCGAAAAGTGAGATTGGTATAAAACATTCAATTTAAGAAACAAAAGTGTGGAACTATCTTCTTTATTTTCTCTGTACTTCTTATAAGATGTATTTTCAAATAGGCAATATTACGAATAAAAAAATCTTTGTTGTATTCCTTCATTGTTCTTTTCTGAGAATGCCTGTCCTTCTGTTTTTATTCTTCGCTGAATCATTTTCCGTGAGAAAGTTGACATTAGATCGCTGCGCTGCACACTATGTATCAGATACGTTGCGTGTACTGGCGCCAGTGTATTTTGAGCTCCTGCTCTAAGCGGTACGTATCATGGCATTATTTTTAGCCGTGTCTATGACAAGTAACTACGTACAAAAGTAATCGTTATCAAGGATCGACTTTTACAATTTCTTCTCAAAGAGTATGAAGTTGTTTTGGAGACGTCTGTAAGGAAATGAAAAAAAAACGCGAACTTTGAAAAATAGAAAAGATAGACTTTCTAAATATTTTTGTGAAAAATGAAAATTATATGTTTGTTTAGAACATGCCAGAATCATTTGTGGAAATTGTATTTAATGTTATTTAATAAGATAAGATGTTTATTAATTTTTGCGGGTTCTTTGCCAACGTTTACCGTCCTGGGGTAAAAATTCAGACAAGAGTTCTGTAGTGTAGAATTTATTAACAATTTCATTGAGGGACCTGTACAAACTAAATAAAATACATTTAAGTAAATAGAGCTTCAGGTCATTCACTTCCACAAAAAGTTGCAGCTGAATCTGAGAAATACATTGCGGGCACTCCCGGGTTAAGATCATTTTAAAGAAATGTCTATCGAAGTTGAAGGCCACCTCAACACTCACTCCCTTCTCA